CGCACCACCACAACAAACCGCAGCGCCCACACCAATCAGCAGTTCTGGAGGAGTCACCTCTCCCGGATCAGCAACTGCACCCCCATCAGTCACCTCTGCCTCCGCAGCACCTTCCCAAACACCTGCCACCACCTCCTCTGGAGGTTCCTCAACATCCCCTTCAGCCTCCTCGGTCGCCAGTAACAATAACACCTCCAACACGGGGCCCCTTCACATACCTGCTAAACGGTTAACGTCAGCATATGGGGAGTGTCCTAATGTTGAGCCTGGTGGAGGTGTAATCAGACACTCGCACCACGGGACGCAGCCCTGGAACTACAGCCCCGTGGAAAACCACCACGCGGCCGGTGCCACTGCCTTCGAGCCGGCAGGCGGCCTCAACCACCACCAGTACAGCAACGCGCCCACGTACTACAACCTGGCTGCAGAACCCACACCGGGTAGAGACGGTCGCAAGGCGGCCGCAGCGCTCAGCTTCTGGTCACCGGCAGCGACAGCTGCTGGGGGTGGTGGTGGTGCAAGTACCGGGGGTGGTGGTACAACAGGGGCCGCGACGACTGGGGCACCCGGGGAATATGCCAAGTACAGTACCACCGGGTCGGTCTCGTCCGCAGGAGGACCCAGTTCGGACCCTGCGGTGTCCAGTTCGTGCCATCAGTCGTTCTCGGCGGCAGCGGCCCAGAGCTGGTGTAATTACTCACCGTACTCAACGGCGGCGGCCACAAGGCACCACCACCACGTGGTGGACACGCACCACCACCCTCACCACACCCAGCCCGTGCCTTACCTCAACCCTGCGGATGAAGGGAGAAGGGTGGCAGCTGCGGCTGCAATGGTAGCGGCCGAAACTGCTGGGTTCACTCACGATGGGTATGGGCTGAGGAACTACGCCCCTGAACCGGTACCTCCCACACCGTACCCACCACCAGGTAAGCCAGGATCTCCGCCTTCTTTTGTGCAAGGGTGAACGTAAGCACGGCTCGAAAAATTACGTACTCGTAGTCACATGCTTGAAGTAGTCAGCAGTGATTTTGTTGACATTTGACAACAAATGCAATGAAGAAGTTAACATATTCCAAGAAGAAATTCATCAGTTATTTAGGCCATTTTGACACGTGCCTGTCAATCTAGCAATGAGTATTTCACACACACTGCATATAATTTATTAGCAATTTATAAACGTAATTATTTAAACTCAGGAAGAAATTTTGTTAAGAGTGAAGCTTGGTTTAGTCAATTACCCCAACTTGTAATTTAGCATTACATGTACCGATACATACCTGCTCCAGAATTTTAATTGAACTGTAAATTTATAGAAAGTAATACAAGAGATCTATGAATAAATAAGTATCCATCTTCCTCTTTTACTGTGTACCGGCCACCCGTGACTTTTGTTAGCAACTGTACTTGGCAGATGTAAGTGGCAGGCGTTCGCAGATTCTTTATAAGTTTGTACGTAAACTCATCCCTTAAATTTGTATCGATTTTCCTAATTCACTTCGATCTGTTATGAATTAAGTTGAAGGTTGTTAAAAATTCGGTAATAAATCAATGTTCCCTACCGCTGCTGTGTGCATTGCTCGTAAAGTTAACTTATCTTTTTCAAAAACATTGACTGTTACCAGTCATGGTCTCGATTTACAGAAAATGTAGCGTGTTTTTGTATCTGCATCACCAAGTCGAGAGAGTACTGCACATTAATCTTCTTTCGGAAGGAACTGTAATTTTCATACTCGCATGTAATTACCCTAATGATAATTGTACATTGTCATGTGTACATTTGTCATCATTCATTTACTGATCAAAGTTAACTATAAAGATAATACGTGAGGAGAATTAATATCAGTATGGACTATAATTGCAAACTTATTTTCCTACTTTTCTAATTAATTAGTAAACGTGTAAAAATCTCATTATTATGTTTGTGACATAGAAAGAAATGTTATAATTAGTGCGATTTTTAAGTCAGAACAGATTTAACTTTGCAGTTAATTTTTCGAAAACCTGTATTTTTTGAAGGAGATTAATACGTCGCCTGCTTTCACCCTTTGACACATTAATTGTAGTATATATTGATCTACTCATTAATTTAGAAGACCTGCATTCATTAAGCACAAATAATTATTAATACCTTGATGAGAGTAAGCTCTTATAATAAGTTGTTCACTTTGTGTCTTTCTCTCTCTGCCACGTGTCTTTCTTTCCTCGTATCCTTTACGTTCAATGGGATGCCAGCCATTATGTCGATCGTAAAATGCAAAGATAAGGCTGTACAGACGGTCCAAAACAGTAATGGCTTGTATTGGTGACCTTTATACAAGGTGCTTCCTTTGTCAAAGCAGGTGTGACTGTTGCGTAACTATGTACTGAACGCTATTTCCATTATTTCCTCTCGCTAAGATTTTTCTGGTAGTACACGTAGTACTAAGACTCATAGCATACTGCTCGAGGCATGTTGAGTATTACGTAAGCCCACTGAAGAACTAGCACACTTCCGTCTGTTTGAAAAAGACATTCATATTTTTCAGATACTTCGAATATGCCGTTATAAACCGAAAGCATTTGTAGATTTAACTTTCCTACTAAAACCGTAATCCTGTCAAATATTCTGTAAAGACCCACTGAAGTCGTTGTTGAAAGACATGTATTTGTTTGTGAATTGGTATATCAGAGTGGAAGCTTCATGGAGTAAGTTGCTGCGTTTGCATTGGAAACGGCCTGCACTGGTAATATTTGTGTAGAAATGCTCGTGTAAGAGCATAATGTAACAAATCATCATCAACTTGATGAAGGCAACGGATTCCGGGCTTACCAATCCTTCCACATCTTTCGAGTTGTCCACTACTTCGTCCATTTGGTTGATAAATATTCCATTAGTACGCATTAGAGTAAACTGAGTTCTTTTAGCTGATCAACATCCTGCAAGAATATAATTTCAAATACTTTACACACGCCCATAGATAATTTCCTTATGACGTAATTTAATATTTTGTTTATTCTACTTCATTAGAAAATCTTAATTTTAGTAGACACGATGCATTTTAATTCTTCTTTGACAGTGTCCGTCCTCATATGAGTGCAGGGATTACCATGAAATTTAATTTTAATTGTGTACAGCCTTAATTGATTTAACGAGTCTTTTCTTAATTGTAGGCTCTGTTATGTCGTGTGAATGAGAAATCGGTGTAGTTAAAAACGTCTGTGAAAAATTAGTTTGAATTATTATATTTTCTTCTTTTTATTATTTATCAAGCAGTTAAGTTTGATAGAATGCATAGAAGCTGGCCTTCTTGAAAATGATCATAATTTCTCATAAATCAATTCAGGATTATTATTACGCGTTGTGTAAAATATATCAGTTATTTTCCTATAGGTTTATTTCCTTGGTAAACACGTAAGTAGTGGGCACATAAGAAAATATGTTACAGTTTTGAATATCGTGGTTCACATCGTGTGTGCGTGTAACCCTATATTCAAATGGTCTTTAATATTATCAGGGAAATTAAAAGTAACTGCGACATTCAAAGATATACCGTAATCTATGGGCTGTAATGTTAGTGAAGAGAATGTGTGAATCTGAAATACCATTAATAATATACTGTAGCCTACTCTTTTGTAGGCACCATGTAGAATCAAAAAATAGCCATCGGGTTTTATGTTTTATAATAACATAGCAAGTTCGTATAAAACATGATTATGGAATAGGCCTATATAGGCATAAAACTTGACTATACAACTTTCGAATGACATAATGTAATGATTCTGGTTTAAAGTGCCATGCCAATGTCTGAATGGAGCGGAAATACAATATAAATCAGTTCAAAAACTTGATGCCTTCCTTTATTACGAATCAATGTCTTAATTTATATAAATAACTAAATATTATGTATTTAATATTGTAATTATTAAAAATTTTAACCATGTTAGAGAAGGGAAATACGTATTCAAATAAGGATCCACAATGAGACGCTGGTAGAAGAAGAACATCTTACACGGGCTATTTTGTACCGGGGATGAACTATCAGGACAGAAACATAAGCTATGGAGCTGTGATGTGTTCTTTCCTTTCTCGACAAGTCTACAGATAATTCCTTTCAATAAAGTTGTAGAACGCAGAGGTGGGG